CTCCTTCTCCTCCTTCTCTTTCTCCTTCTTTCCCCTCTCCCCCCCCTCTCCCTCCTCCTGTCTTCCTCTTCTTCTCCCCTCTCACTTTCCTCTCTGTTCTCTCTCTCCTTTTCTTTTCCCCTTCCCCTTGCTGGGCAGATGAAATAAGGTCTGTACTTCCCGTCACAAAGGACATTTCCCTTGGGAGACATGAAATCAGCAAGTAGAACTCAGCAAGTAAAATGATCACCCTGCAGTATTTCAGCCTTTAAAAGCTGCTGCTCCCTGAGGAAGGATTTGGACGCCTGCCGTATCATTATCCCTTTTAGTATTTCTCCTTGTCTTTTAACCTTTTGATTGACCGAGACGATTTAGCACAAGTGTTTGTTCCCAGAATGCAGTCACACACTTTTAACTACTCTGTATGCAAGGGCCAACAGGGAGCAACCAGGCACTATCCTGATGGATTATTTCCAACAGTGATACTTCAGCTGCCTCTTGTGTTGTAACTATTTATAACTACATTAACTATGTTCCTTATTCCCTGAAAATCTATCAGCAAAGACCTCCTCACTAAAAAAAAATCAAAGTTAGAGCTACAAGTCTGAAAATTGTATTTCTGTTGTGGAAAGGAAAAGTAACAAGTTTAGGGTTGAGAAATGTCCTTTTCTATGAAGGTCATTAGTTCCGTCCAAAGGACACCAAGAATGTCTAGTGATGGCATCTTGCTCAGAACCCAGTTCTGCCATTTGTATCCTTCTATGATCTTAAAAAAAAAGCAGAAGGGGAGTGGAGGATAAGAGATGAGTCATTGGAATGCACTACCAAGATAAAGTATGACATTTCTGCTAGAGAATTCTAAAAAAAGGGAAGTCAGGTCTTTTTTTTTTTCTGTCTTTCTAGGATGGCATAAAAGCTGGGTGATGCTGTGAGGCATTCTGTGAATGCAGAAAATCCTTTGGTTTTCTGGTAGACAGTTCTTAGTTCCTGAACACCTTTCTCTCATTCACTCACTCTTCAGTCTTGGAAAAGGGGAAAATTTTAAGTCATTCACTGGGTTATATTTATAAATTTGAGACAAAAGATGGCTTCATATATCATCACAAAAATATCAGTCTGAGAGGGGAAGACCTTCAAAGTTTCTGGCCAGAAAACAAACAGAAAATATACAGTCATTCTAAGCCATCAAAAAAAAAAACCCTTTTGAAAATGAAGGATGAACAACAGCTATAAATTTACAACACCCTTATAAGCAGCATATTAGAAGGTGTGCATATTTCAACATTTAAAGCTAGAAGAGGTGTTGTATTATTACCTAATGAAAATTGCTGACATATGATTACTTAGTTTGTAATACGGCTACTGTAGTGTTTGTCATTTGGCACTTATAAAACATCTTGAAACCATTAAGTCTTAGGTCGCATTAACTGGAGCAGTCTCCAGAATGAGCAAAGTCATACTTTTGTGTTGGTTCAACCACATCTGAAATGTGGTGCTCAGTATTAGGCATTACATATCAGGAAGGACATTGACAAACTGGGCTGTAATTCAGAGGAAGAAGACAGGCATGTTGAGAGGGCTTGATTGGTATATCAGAGAGGAAGAACTAGGAATGCTCAGGCTGGAACAGGGAATACTTAACTGGGGAGATGATAGTTGTCTTTAAGTAACTGAAAGGCTGACATGTGAAAGGGTGATTAGATTTTTATTCGTTGGCCTCAGAAAGCAAAACTTCAACCTGTATGTTGAAATTGCAGAGGCATATTTTAGTTGTAATTGGAAAAAGTTTTGTCCTAATAATCAGAGTTCTGTAAAAGTTGAATGATTTACTTTGGAAGGTAATTAGTTCCTCTTTACTGGGGGCCTTCAGATATAAATAAACTGGATGACCACTTGCCCAGGATGTTGCTGATGGGGTGATTTATCCTTCAGGTAGGGCTTGGACTAGATGACTTCGTAGGTCCTTTCCAGCTCTGAGGTCCTATGAGTCCATATAATTATCAGTTTGAAAGACTTTCTCACTGCCAATACTATTCATGTGGGATGTGTATTTCAAAAGATTTGTAAATGAGTGAATGTTGGTACTCCCTATTCAACCCTTCACATTTTGGAAGACAGTTTTAAAAGTTGTTGTGATTGTTTGATGAACCTCTCAGTACTTAGGCTAGGCCAATCACTGGGTGACAGTCCATTTCCAGGTTTTTCCACTTTCATAGGACCTCGACCAAGCTTATGTTTTATTGGTGTGGTCTTTGAGAGACCAGAGCTATCTGCATGCCACAAAAATCGGACAGGAAGCATCATGACAATCCTTATCTATTTTCTTGTTATTCATTCCAACCTTCACCTTAGAAACTCCCCAGGAATTTGTCTGTAATGTCCGTAGGGTGACACTTTGTGCTCTTGCTTTACCTCAGTTAAAGATTTGATCATGTGGCCTGGCTTAGAATTCCCTACTTCCCTCAACAGTGTAAAAAGTATACTGAAAATTTGTTCATGTGACATCCTTGGGAAGTATAGACCATTATAACAAAGTCCTTTGGATGAGGGCCAATATAAATTTTCTTTATACCAATGAGTAGGTCATTTTTTTTTTTGTGGATATGTAATCATAATGAGGGCAGATCCACTGAACTCCATAAATTACAATCATTCAGTTGCCACACTTGAGTCCTGATGTTGATAATAACCTTTATTAGGTGTCTGACATAACTCACCTCTATTTCTCTGAGCACCAGTATCTCATATCTATATAGCAAGATGCACGAAAAGGAGAGATTTCACTTGCACAGCTAGAGAAAAACAATTCATCTTATACTAGTTCTCCCAGCCATGATTTTTATGGGTCTCCTTGTTCCTCTTATGTCCTGTTGCAGAACAGCGGTGGCCAAAAGTTCTATATACTTATATTCGATTATAAATCCTTAGAGATAAACAGAAATGGAGTTTCTACCTTCTGTTATCCCTTTCTTTCAGGTGATTCTTTCAGGTGAATGTGATAGGTCTCGTCAGGAGACTAGTATCAGCCCATGATAACAGGAATGGATTAAATATTAAATGTTTCAGGGGCAGCTAGGTGATGCAGGGGATAGAGCACCGGCCCTGGAGTCAGGAGGACCTGAGTTCAAATCCAGACTCAGACATGTGACACCTTACTAGCTGTGTGACTCTGGGCAAGTCACTTAACCCCAATTGCCATACATATACACACACACAACTACACAAATATTACCTGTTTCAAAGACTTTAAATCAGCAATGAAGACCAAATGAGGGATAAGTAAAAATTCTGAACCACATCCTCTTGTATTCATAAAAGTGAAAAAAAAAAACAAATAAAAAGCAAAGCCAATACACTCTCATGTTTGGGAAGGTCAAGATTTTTTTAAAAAACCTACAAAAACTATTACTGGGGGCTATCACAGATTCCTTTACCTTGATACAACCTAGGATCAGTTTCTTTAAGTAGATAACTGCATATGAGGTTTTTAAACAATCTTGTCAGCAGGTTATTTTACACGTAGTAAAACCCTATAGCAGGCCTATGAATTGAAATGAGAACTTCTTGGCATGGTGGTGTGTACATGCATATTATATATGTATATATACATGCAGAACTTTTATGTCGTGCTCAGTTTATCACCTTGCACTATCGTCTTCATTGCCATCATCATCATCATCATCGACCCTTTTCATTAAGACAGTCTCAGCCAAATGTATCATGGCACTCCAGTACTTGCATGCCCTGTGGACAAGTTCTGCCTGGTTTTTGCCTTCGGTACTTAATAAGTTTTAAGCATTGAGCAGCAGCTGTCTCCTTCGGTTTTTGTTGCAGCTCGTAGGAATCGATCTGGTGGTCTCTGGCATAGCCTCTCAACTCTGGAACGGAAAGATGTCTAAGTATAGACAGATTTTTTTCCCCCCGTTTGGCAACAGCTTACAATCTATGCTACACAGGCGGTGCCTCCTGCTGCCACCTATCGGTTCTACACAGATCTGTTTATATTCCTTTTTTCTTGTGGCTTTATCTTTCCTGCTCCTCACTCATCTGCAGACACTTAGGTACTGAAATATACTTTATCTAATCAGGTCTGTTACAGCCAAAGCTTTTGATAGTCATTCCATGAGCTAATGTCTTGGTTCTGCACCCTTCTGGCTACTGTCTTCCTATTCATGGCATTTATCTTCTTTAAATAATATGAATAATGTTTGAGCTTATATTTGTCTTTGTAGAAACTGGAAAGTTACATAGTATGGAGGAATAAATGATGTTGCTTAATTGTTGTTCTAAAAACCATTTTATGTATACATACATATATACATTGTATTTATATGTCCAAATATGTATGCTATCTATATGTATACATATATGTATACACATATATGTACGTAAATATAATAAAAATAGCAAGATTTCAGAAATCTTAGGAATGTTTTGACCATAATAACATCCTGGTCTAGCATTAAATAGAAATCCCTTGATATTTACTATAATAAAGAGATATTGAAACTCAGATGATTAAATAGCTTCAATAGGTTAGGAAGAAGTAGTAAACTGGGCCATGTCACATATTGGCCATTCACACACACCTTAGGCTGTGTCATACACTGGCTGTTCACACACTGTAGGCCATGTCATACACTGGCTATTCACACACCACAGGCCATGTCATACATTGGCTGTTCACACACCACAGGCCATGTTATAGACAGGCTGTTCACAGGCATCTGTTTAGGAGTCACTTGTGACAAGATCTCCACTTCACAAGTGCTCCATCTGAGACAACTTTACAAAATCTGAGACATGCTTAGTCCACTAAGTGCCATTAAAAAAAAAAAGAAAAAGAAAAAAAAGAAAACCTTTGGCCCTTAATGTGAAAGAAAGTACTCTTCTTTTTGCTTGTCAGAGTTAAACACACTGAGGGTTAAAGTGATTAGCTGTTGCCTGTACCGCATGAATGTATGCATGCGTGCACAGTGACTACTGTGGCTTATCTGTGTCTAATTTCTGTTCCTTTCCAGTGAGGAAGAGGAGGCTGGCGGACTTGACCGGGCCCATTATTCCCAAGTGCCGAAGTGGCGTGTAGTTTGTGGAGCTGGAGACTATGCCTTTAAATAGGATATCTGCTGAGAGTTTGTGCTGTATGAGAGAACCTATAGAAAAAACAAAACAAAAACACCCGCACAGTGTATTTTTTGTGGTTCAGTTCTGTATTGCATCTTTATGCACTAAATGTTTTAAGTTAACTAGTGGTTGTAGTTGAAGATTTTACAAAATGTGGTTAATGTGAAGTTTTCTTTAGTCATAGAAATTCAAGATGGTTATTTTTTAAAAACCTGCTGATTTCATGGAAGAATACATAATAGTACCAAAGCAACTTAACCCCACAATAATGTTTATATTCTCTTCCTGGGTGGTGTTTGGGGTACATTTAGGTTGTGTTATGCATGAACAAACAACAAACTGTCCCACTGGTTTTAGAAGCATTATAAAATACTTTATTTTAAAACTTGATCTCAAATCTCTAGCAAATATAACAATTTAATAGTCATTGTTATGATTCTTTTTAATTTTAAGAATTTAATTTCAGAATTGCACTCAACATGTGGAAGAGCTCAAAAACATGGAGAGTTTCTAATTCCTCTAGAAAGGCAGGAGCGGTAAGGCCACAGATTCTTAACAGCAGTCACAGTTATTGAAAAACACAAAACAAAACAAAGAGGTTTTTTGAGTGTTTGGAAGTGATTTTTAAAATCTGTATTATAAAGTTCAGTCTCCAAATCTGCCTCTTTCTTTCTCAACCCCAATTCTTCTTTAATTTTTCTTTAATAAAAACAACTTTTATGCATTTACCAATTAACATTTAAGTTAGAAAAGATTTTCCCCCTTTATTAAATGTCAGTTTTATGATAGAGAAGAAAACCTGTAGACAAATAAATTCTTTACATTACGTAATGCTGAAGGCTAGATGGATGAACAAAAAGTGGAATGATATAACAGACAACCTAGGAATAAACATCCACAGATTTTATGGTGGGAAAGCTTATAGACAACCTACATCTAACCTTTCCTTTATCTAAACAAATGACCACTTGATCTGATTCCAGGTATAAAGTTAAATTTTGAAAGACAACACCATCCTTTAGGTCTAGATATGTAAAAAATGGAAAATAGGAAGAACCTGGCTAAACTATATAACAACATGTAGGCTAACTGGGAACATTTCTGAATGTCTGCTGGTTTTGTCACATTGTGCATCTCTAGGGATCAAGCAAAAATGGTTCTTAAACAAACCTCCTATCCCATCAATAGAAATAATGCAAAGCCCAGAAGACCTTGTGCCTTTTAATATGCCATAGTGCCAACTAAACTAATATTTTTATTGCCTTTGGAAAGACTTATAATTTGTGATTTAGTAACTCTTAAGATAAGAGCATGCCAAAAAAAGCTGAAGAGTTCAGAATGGCTTGCAGAATTCTGAGAAAAGGGAGGGGTTATTTTTGTTTCAGTGGCTTTTGAAGAAAAATACTTTATATATTTATATATATATTTGTATTTATTTATCTATAGTACAAGGTCATAACAGATGGAGCCAGAATATTATCATTATGGGAAGAATGTATATTGAGCCTCAAAAGATGGCCCAGAAAGAGCACCATTCTGCAGGGAATTGTTGAAACCACTCTTAATCACTGTAAGCTACAATGTAACATTAAATCAGTTGGTCTTATGATTGTTCTCTGTGTTGTGGAGGACTCTGTCCATGAAAAAAAATCTTGGCTTTTGTCTTTTGGAACAAAATCTAGGGAAAAGAACATACAGCTAATCTGATACTTCTCAACAAACTCCCTTAAAATGCAAGTTGTGTTTACATACTCTGCAAAGATACCCAATTTCTTGAGTTCTTGAACAGTTCATGCAAGATGCTACCAAAGAACTAACATTGTGCAAAGGCTGCAGTTAACGTTATCCTGTACCACCCAAAATCATCCATATCCTGACTCAGTTAGGGCTCTACCACATCTTTATAGCTCGCATAATAGCAAAGCAGGAAGAGACTCAGAGATCATTTAGTCCAATCTCCGCATTTTACATAAGAGAAGACCAAGGCCTAGGAAAGGGACACGGGTTGCTTAAGATTATGCAGCTAATAAATTGCAAAGCTGGAACCTGAATCCCAGTCTATGAGATCTCTATCCAGTGATCTTTCTACTATAATATATAGATTCTTTGAGACATCAATTGTAACATCAGAGTATTAGCTGCCACTCATGCACTTTCAAATTTCATGAAACGATGAGGTCTGTAGTACACTTGAAAGCTAAGCAACAGAAGAGACACATTTACTGTTTTTTACATCCTAAGATGTTAATGTGGCACCCATTATGACTTCCTAGGCGGAAGGGAATAGTTGAAAAGATCAGAGTTTGACTTATGTGCTATCCTTTCCACAGGAAGGGGGAGAGGTCACAGAAAGAACACTGGCTTAGGCTTAGGATGTGGAAGACCCAGGGTGATGCCACTAATTTACTGGGTAACCCTGCGCAAACATTTCACTCCTCTCCGTACCTCGGTTTCCTCGCCTATAAAATGAGGATAAAAATAAATGTCCTACTTATTCCAGGTTGGTTTTGAGGTTCAAAAGACACATGAGAATGCTCCAAAAAGTGCACATCACCAGAGAAATACAAATTATTACTATCAATATCAAGCATATATTTACTTGTTTTGTTGACAAGTCCAAGAAGTACCAGAGAAGAACCTTAAGATCTTGAACTTATTTATAAGGTTCTCCTACCTCTAATCAGACACAATGGTTGTTTTGATTAATATATAGGCACATCTCACTTTTAGAGTCTCATAATAGCATACAAAAATCATACATTTATAAAACAGATACACTTTGGAGTGATTTTAACCTTACAGAATGACTCTTTGCTTTACTAAATGATTCACTCCAGTTTGTTTATATAAGAAGCTCCCCTACTGCATTAAAATAGAATTCAATTTACACAAATTTGATTCACATACTTTCAGTCCAGCAGAGTTCTGGTTTTTTGGTGGCCTAGCTATTATCCCAATAGCTGCTTCTGCATTAGGCCTGTTCCTCCTGCCTGGAACTCCCTAGCCCACCCCCATGTCCAGAACCTTTCATGCTGGAAACTTTCCTGCCTGTGACATCCAAGGTGAAAAGCTAATAAGGTGAGACCCTGCCTGTATCTTTAAAACACCTTCCTCATATCTGTAACCCTGATGTATGAGGTGACAACAGCCGAGATGAATGGTGATATGTCATCACTAACTCCCCTTTGCTGCTATGGCTTGAAGATCATCACCTCTCAGGATTTAGTGACATCTCTAGCTATGTCCTCATCCTGTTTTGGAGGGGCCATCTGCTCCTATGGCTTAGGGGTGGCTGCTGCCCTAGTGTTGCTCCAGCTTCTAGTCTTCAGGGTCTCCATGGGGCCAAATAACAACCAACTACTTTCTGTTTGTTTGGTTTTTTTTTTTTGGCTAGGCAATGGGGTTAAGTGACTTGCCCAGGGTCACACAGCTAGTAAGTGTTATGTGTCTGAGGCTGGATTTGAACTCAGGTCCTCCTGAATCCAGGGCTGGTGCTCTATCCACTATGTCACCTAGCTGCCCCAACCAACTACTTTCTGCAAGAGAGCTGAGGCCTAATTCTACTGCAAGGCCTCATTTAAGGCCCCAAAGGGACTAGAAGAGGAACACAAAAATATGTAAAGCAAAGTATATTGATACTGAAAACTATAGTTATTAAAAAATAATTTTCTAAGTAATAAAGTCTTCCACATGATTATGGATTTATGACTCTCTGGAATTCTGGTCTAACAACTAGCACAAAAGGACTGCTACACATAAAGCAGAAAAACTGGATACTTTTAGTTAATTTTATAGGTTAGCAAGGGGAGAAAATGCTATCTTGGTTCTTCTCCTACAATTTGCTGAGTATTTTAAAAATTTTGAACTGGCCTTCTTTCTTTCTCTCTTATTTGTTTGTTTATTTATTTGGCAATTGGGGTTAAGTGACTTGCCTAGAGTCACACAGCTAGTAAGTGTCAAGTGTTTGGTCTGAGGCCGGATTTGAACTCAGGTCCTCCTGACTTCAGGGCTGGTGCTCTATCCACTGTGCCACCTAGCTGCCCCAGAACTGACCTTCTTCACTGAAGGCCATGTGCCACTACTTACTTCAAGCAGGGTGGCATTTCAATATTAAAATGACCAAATGATATTCCTAAGTATATTTCTTATTTCAGTCCTTGAAAAGCAGCCTTTGTATTCTGGCTGGAGGCAATGGGTTCCAAATGGTTAACTCCTTCTGTTACTTACTATCAATTCATTTAGTGAGTACCAACTATGTGCATGCCATGGTTTGAGATTCTAAGATAATACTGAACTTTATATTAATGCAAATTATTTAGTTTTATATGATTTAGGCTTACTGCAGCAGAACTAATAAAATGGAAATTAATCCCTCAAGGTGTTGCTTGGGCATGAAAAGACTTAGTCACATGGCAATTTTCCTGTTACAGTAGAATAGGGCACTTATTCCTTTTCTTACCTATAAATTTTCCAAAATTTACAGTAATGAATATGTCAGGAATTACTAATTGAAGACGATTTTGCAAGTGCATTTCAATAGCAATTAAAGTTAATATAACAGATATGTTCCTGAAAATACTATGAAATAATGTAAATCAAATCTTATATGCCCACTGCTGTACATTCATTACGAGTAGAATATTCTAAGAGTTGCTGAGGAGAAACACAGAGCCCAGGAAAGAGTTAAATATCAAACTCATAATGCTAGTGTCAGTGATTTGAACCCTGCCTTATTTTCCAGGTAGAAAACAGGCAAACCTCTTGAGCCCAAGGAACTGCCCTCAGGCTGTAGAGATTACACAGTACACTACAGTTTGAGGAAAGCTTTGTGTGGTCAGAGAACTACCTTCTCCCCCCCCCCATCTCATGCTACAGTAGTTCCATCATGGCTTTCTCTCTTGAGATGTTTCTACAAAGTAGAGGAAATATTTGGGAGCTTGCGGGAAAAGAAGAAATGACTAAGAAGAATGGAATTTGCAGGCCAGATCCCAAAGATTTCTTATTTCTAAAAAGCTAACAGCAGTGATGACAGTAACATCAGCAGAAGTATTTGTTTTACCTTCTCTCTTTTCTTTACTACCAAGCTATCAGGTTAGCAAGGATTCAATGTAAAAAGCCAAAGTTGATGTACTGACCGAACGTTCTCAAAGTGGTAGTTTGAGACCTCAAATCGCAAATGAAGGGAACAAAATCTTAAATCTTAGGCCCTGCCTATACATAATGACATACTTGTAGGACATTCTCACAGCTCTAGTTTGTGAAACCTAAAATGGCAACTGTAAGCATCTAAACATTTCTTAGACTTCTTTAAATAAATATTTGTTATTGTTCATTAAGTTCATAAGATTGAAATTACACATTGACTTTGCTATAATTTTAAGAGAGTAACAATACAGGCTTATATATTGTGTACTTTCAGCTCTATGGACAAAGCACATTCCTCTACTGCAGGATTGTCAAGGACACGCTCCTGATGTGCTTCACCTCAAAGTGGCCAAGTATTATCACTATGTTTCCCACACACCAATTTCAGCCCTTTCTGTCTCCGAACTGTCAAGTAAGACCTTAGCCTAATTATATCAGCATTGCTCCCTCATTCCCACCAGTCTTAAATCCAATCCAAAGATGATGTGATATAAGTGGCAAGTGGGACACAACTCTCTTGTTGTGTCTAATATAGCCTACTGTACATACACAAATGTCCCTTCATGACCTTCTCCTAGAGGTGGGTCTATAACCCTGACCCTCATAATTGACACTGTGAACCACATAAGGAAAATGTTGATGATATGCTTAACATAAGCAGTGGCATAACTGCATTAAAGTTGGTAGCTTGCCTATTTACACCATCCATTAAGTCCTGATTACTGTGAAAGTTCAATTGGTATACGGGGCCTTTTCAGTGTACAATCACATTCTTCTTTAAAACTCTTCTCAGTGGGACTTGAAATTAGCTTGGCTCCTTTACCCTGGCAAGTGAGACAACATGCTGTAAACCCTTTCTCTTGGCATTCTGAACAGGACAAGACAAGTTGACGGCAATGCAAGGTGGAACATAGTTTATACTGGTCCCACTGGGCTCCACAATAGGTACATTCTGGGGAGGGGAGAAAAGCAGGTGTTAAACATATGCAAAGCAGTACCCTTTTATTTCTCCCCAAAACTACACAAAATACAGCCTAATGAATGCACTGTTTGTGTCCACTGAATGCTGAAGTCTCTCATCCTTTAACAGAGATCTTCTGTTTCTGAGCTTTGTCCTTTTGCTTTCTGAATTCTATCCTTTTTCCAAAAAGTACCACAGAAAAGAAACAGGTCTTAGCTCACCTTCCTTTTATATCCAGATTTCTCAAATGGGTATGCTATGTGCTACTACTATTTTTTTAAATCACTGGATCAAAGAGCATAAGGGGTAAGAAGAATGCAAAGGTAGGAGGGGGCTAGGTTATGAAGGACTCAATGCCAGGCAGAGCATTTTGTATTTGCTTTTTTCATTTCCTCAGTGGTGTCACCTTTTCTCTTTTTGCCATTCCAGAATCACAGAATTTCAAATCATAGGGTCACTGATTTAGAGCCAGAAGGGGCCTCACAGGCCATTTAAGGCCAGCCCATACCTGAATGGCAATCAATCCCCTTGAGGACACAGCCAACAAATGGCCATCCAGCTTCTCTGAAGGTGAGCCCCCCACTGCTGCCTCCCACCCTACGCTAGTCTTCTTTTTACCTGTACATATAAGGACAATCCCTCATCTTTTCCAGGGCATGCTCTCTCCCTCTCTTGGACACATGGATATTCACTGATCACTGCCTTTAGGCTTATGACCTTCCCCTCAAATCTGCTGCTCTGTCTAAATTTCACTGTGAAAATCAATCTATTCTTTTTCAGTCCTTCAGGCTGGCCATCTTGGGCACCTTCTGCTCCTTACTACCCTGTCCAATTGTTCACTCACATTCTACCAACATTTCCTTTGCAACATGACTTAGATTCATCCCTTCTAATTTGCTTCCCTTATTTAGGGCCCATGCCCTAAATATCCATTCATATCCCATATAACTTGAAGGAGTCATATTAGACTCCTGTTCCAAGCTTCCTAACCTGAATGCCTTTAACATATCCCTTCCTAAGCAATGGTACAGAAAAAATAGGAACCACATTCCTTATTTGTATCATACCACCAGCTTCATCAGAAATTCACAGCGGCTCCTTTTGCCTCTTCAGTGAAATTCATAATTATCATATATTTTTAAAGCTTGCTTATTGACCACCCTTCTCTACCTCCCACTCACCTGAATTTCACTGCTGCCAAAACTATGACTTCTTGCATATGATGTATTCACACTTATCCCTGAGCCCTTGAACGTTTCATTTTAGTCAATTTGGAATGCCCTTCGATGCTGTCCCCCTTGAGTAAGATCCTAAAAGGGCAAGGGCTGTGCCCATTGTTTTCCACAGAATGAGGAGTCTGCTGCATACAGTAAACACTAAATTAATATTGGCTTCGTTCAATAAGAAAGCTTTATCTTTCACGGTTTAGGAATTTTTGTTAAATAAGATTGCTGGGAAATGGAGAAACTTCTGCCTTTGGACAATGACAAGTTTTCTTGAACCAAAAATTCATTTCTGTTAAAATGGACAGACTAGCCAAAAGGCTTTGTTTTCAGGTTGGATGATATGTCCTTTGAATTAAATGAAGATTAACATCAGAAATTCATCTCCTGAAAGGCAGTGTTTTAGAGCTGCTACAAGCTTTGGATAGTTTCCAGGATTGTGTTATCACAGAGCTTAATTGCAGGGCCTTAGAGATGATATAGTACAATTCTTTCATTTTACTGATGAGAAAACTAAAGCCTATAGAGGCTAAATTAGTGGTCCACGTTCTCCCACACAGAAGCAGAGGTCAGTAGAACCCAAGTCTCCTGACTCCCAGTCCAGGGGATTAGACCACACTGCTTCTATCCATCTTCTTCATGTTGGCTAGTGGAAAGAGAGTACATAACACCCTAACTTGGAACACCGTAGAGAAGTGAATGACCTACCTGAAACAATGTCATTGTTGTAAGAGAGAGCATAGCGTTCATCAAAAACAAATAATTTCCCTCTATAAAAACCATCAGGAAACTCTTCCAGGTACTTGTGGATGCCACCCTTCAGCTGGTATACTTCTTTGCATACTCCCTGTATTTCAAAAGTTAACATGATATTAGAAAATGTCAGTAAAAGTTTTGTTAGATAGTTTAACTATGAAGCCAAGATCCAGAGTGGCAAAGTCATTTGCTTATAGTCAAAGAGCTAGTTAGCAGCAAAGCCAGGACGAGAACCCAGTGCTTCTGAACCTCAGTCCCCTACTTCTTCCACTAGAGACACTTCTTTCCCATTATTCCTTCATGGCATACTTCTGTTAGCAAGACTTAAGCTGTCCTATTTACTAGTCAGTTTAAAGGAATATCTGACATTATGATGTTACTGAAAGTCATTTTCCTCTGGTATGGCTTTATGTGCACATTCTATACTTAGCACACTCATTCCCAGATTGAGGAAGGTAGTGTCTTAGAACCACAGAATGTTAGTCAGAAGGACCTCAAAGAATATTTAATCCAACCACTTGTTTTTATTGGCCTAGAGAAATTAAGCGTTCAGAACAAGGCCACATAATTTAATTAGTGCCAGAACTAGGACCAGGTACCTTGGCTTCTAGGTTAATATTCCTTACATTTCACTATATTCCCCCTCCTGCGATAGGGAAAAGGTTAACTTTTCCATCTTTTCTTTTAGATGTCACTGCTGAAGACTCGGCATTTCTTGCAATTTTTAGGAACCTTAGATTTTATCTCATATGAAAAACCCATAGCTCATACAGGAAACTCACACACACCCTTATGAGCTAATTACTCCTGTAGAGAAGACTGCATATTTTGCTCCTGAGGTCTTCTCTATCCCTACCTGCTGCACATTCTATGGAAGAGAGCTTACCTTAGCTTTAAGGTAGGCTGAACCCCTTTCACAACGAATGCCCCCAGTACAGTACATTAGCACACGCTTGTCCTTAAAAAGTTTCAGGTTTTTGTCCACATAACTGGGAAAATAACTGAATTTCCTGATGTCTGGTGCCAGGCACTTCTGGAAACGGCCCTAAAATATTAAATGACTGTCATGTGATTACAATACAATACACTGAAAGCAGTGAACAACAGGAGGTAGGGAAACAGGAGTTATCAGAAAAACATGGCTTCATTCCTTGAACAACCTCAGCCTTGGCAAAGAAGCATTTGTATTTGACAGTATATCTTTCTTAAAATTGCAGGCTTTGATTTACTACCTACTGCTTAGGAAAAACTCATTTCAAAGACTCTGAGTTGATAAATGAAGGTAGGTGAGTCCAAACATTCCCCCTTTTCTGAAAGACATAAAAGGAGAGAAGAACTGTGGAGTTTTCACAAAGAAAAATTTATGAGATCCTAAATCTGTCATAAATAACAAGAATATGCTTACAAGAGAAACAACTCTAATAGCAGTTAAGATGTTTCAAAGTCATATGCTTTACTGTCAGGATACTGACTTTGTTAGAAATCAGGTGCCAAGAAAAATAAATGGTAATTCTCTTATGTGGTTCACACAAGTGGGCTTCTTTGTTCTTTGACATCATTGAGTGTTATGGAAAGCATGAAATCATTTTATTGAACCTAAACAAGGATCTAACCCAAAATGAACTTACTATTTTACTTTCATAAAAGTTCCTGCAGTCCAGCAGAATAGTGTCATTTTGCTCTTGATTACCCTGATATAAATAATTTTCAACTTCTTTATGAAATTCACCAGGGGATAAATGGATTCCTAAAATCAAACCAAAAGTACTTTAAAGACATTTTAAAATATTCTTGGAGAGCCAGGACAAAACTATTTTAAGTGGTCCTCTCCACCCAAATCTCTTCTATTCACAAATCACAATTAAGTTGGTAAAATAGTTGTTTTTATAATGACAATTTCACAGTATTAGACTGCAAGATATCTATAACCTCTCTACTCTGGGTTTCTTTTTGTGAAATCCCTAAGGAGAATCTGGCCCACCAAATGAAAGGAAATTCAGTAGTTATTACTTTCAGAATTTTGCCACACATATTTGGCTTAACATGAAGGGATCTAAGACAGCATAGCATGAAATATATGTCCATCTGACCATAAACTTCCATTCTAACCATGTACCCTACCCACATAGGGTAGTCACGACATGATACTGCTATTACCAAGAGAGAGAGAAGGCAAGAAAAGGTACATGCTTGATGAAAACTTTTGTTTAACTTGGTTTAACTCTGAATGGTCCAATTCTAAGTCACAGGCGGAACAAGGGCATATTTGCACAAAATGAAAGTACTCTTAACTATGCTTATTCCTTATTAAGCAACATCAACATATCACAAAGGGAATCACTGAGCTCAGTGGAATATCTTAATGCATAGCAACAGAGTTGTCTGCTAACATGGAAAAATCTGGAAAGCCTTAAAGCTAAACTACGTAATCAGGGCTCCCATGAACACATTATAGTACCCTAATAAGATAACTTGGACTATGGGGTAAAAAAGTATTCTTTATCCCTTGGAAAATGTTCTGTCTCTTTATAGCTATGGCAACTAAAAATGGCAGCCAAAGTGTCAAAGATTATTCACTCTTGAACCCAAGGAATATTTACTCAGGTATCAAAGTTTCTTGCTATATATAGCATATCACATAGAATAAAATAAATGAAGTAGAGATCAGTGTAAACTCCAAAGCATTAACAAGTTAACTGTTTTTGCTAAGGGATCCCACCTAATGAGAGTAAGTTTCTTCTACTGTTCCACTGACCCTGAGTGCAAGACTGAGCTGACAGTGACTAGTCAAAATTCTTTAAAAGGAGCTAAATTACCTAAAATTGGCCCAGATTAAAACACAATGTATTAACTGTGATCTGCTTTATATAGTCTGAATCAAAAAATTTTAGTGTTGGAAAGGACTTTGAACCTTGGAGATCATCTAATCCAATATCCTCTTTGTACATGCGAGAAAATGGAGGCCCAGAGAGAGGAAATTATTTGCCCAAGACTCCTAAGGTAATAAGAAGTACAGCTGGAATAAGCACTCAGGTACCTTCACTCCAAATCCAGTGAACTTTCTACTAGGCCATACAGTCTCAGTCACACAATGATAAATATCTTCTTAGCATTGTTGGTGCATGTATTAGTAACACTGGGCTGATAACATGCTTGGATAATTACTTTCTTTTTCTTGACATTCATAGTTTAATTCCTATTTTCCTCTTTGTTTTGTTGGTGATATTTTGAATAGCTATACATTATTATAATATATATTGTGTTATAATACATATTACCATATAGATATTTCAGTTATCTATAATAATAACAGAAAAATATTGTATGTAACTGCAGTCTTGACTGAGTCTGTAAGACAGCACTGCTGTTCAGTGGACACGAATTATTCCACTCTAGAAAGCTAGTAACTTAATTTGTGAGAATGAAGTAACCAGGTGAAAAGGTTATGGGACACTTTTCAAATGCCAAAGCTTTAAAACACCAAGTAGTTCTGCTCAGGTTTCTAATGTGCTCATACTATGACCATTCCATATCTAAGACATAGAAATGCTTGCTTTATTCACAAATCACTATAGATCTTACTGACCTGAGTCTTACTTGCTATTTTGCTTCTCTATACAGTTTTGAAACCTAATAAAGAAATACATTTTAATTTTTCCTAAAACAAGCATACCGGGTTTTTTGTAGGAGATCACATTGGGATTGATTCCCATGGGCACGATTTCTTCATATACACCAACACGAAGTCCTGGAAAACAGTAAGCTCCTCCTTTGCTGGTCTAGCCAATGAAAAACAAAAAATACAAAGTCTTCCCTTCCTCAGAGCAAACCTCCCAGTCCTCCATTGCCACCTTCCCCATTCTAAGACAAGAACCAAATACAGGAATTTTAATGTACAGCACAATATGACACAAATTTAAGGTGGCTTGCATATTCTACAGTCATTTCAAACACATGGAAAACCTGACCTTTTCATGAACAGGTTTTCTAAACACAAAAATGACAGTCTGAAATAAAAACTAAAATAAACAAACTTGTGAATGGCCTGTAGCAACTAGATATGAAACACTAACGTATCAGTTTTCTTCTCTTCCTAGACTATCATTATAGTGAAACTTGTTACAATTATCACAGGCCTCCCTGCACTAAATACTTTCCTTAAATTGCCTCAAGACCTTGGAAAGTGTTAGAGAGAGATGTTCTGCTTCCAACGAATACTACTTAAATATGATAGGAGTGGGGTGTGCCACATACCAAAGAAGATGGACCATAAAAAAAAAAAGATACAGTTTTAGGGCTGGCATGGGCTAAAGAGGTCATCCAGGATGAGCTGAAACTGAAGCCCTGCCAGGTAAAGGGTTTGACCAGGTGTCCTCGACTCGAAGTCTGTGTCACCACTAGATACTACACCCCTCCTATATTAGCACATTATCTCAAAGTGATGATCATAAGATTTAGAGCTATCAGGAAGTTTAACTGAAACTGAATCAAAGGAAGGTTACCAATATCTAACAATAAGCAAATGTAAAGTTTAGAATCACAGAATACTACAGTTGGCAAGCACCTTTAAAAGAGAGAAAGAGAAAGAGAAAGACAGAGAGAGAGAGAGAGAGAGAGAGAGAGAGAGAGAGAGAGAGAGAGAGAGAGAGAGAGAGAGAGAAAATGTGTGTTTGTGGGGGTAGGGGGGTACAGATGAGGAAGGTGAATCCCAGAAAGGCAAAATGATTTGCCCAAGGCAAGAAAATCATACAATCTCAAGAGCTGAAAGGAGTCATAAGAAATCAATACTAGGCAGTAGCAGAACTGGACTAGAACTGGTCTCCATTAACCTTCCAGAGTCCTTTCTGTTATACACCCCCTGTCTTATCTGTTACTGAATGTTTATCAGATTTATGCTGACTTCTTAACATTTCCTTTTTCTTCAAATAATCTGCAGTGGGTGAAAATTAAAAAAAATGTAGTAATTTGTGCTCCAACCCAGGGCTTCTTAACCTTTTCCCACTTGCAACCCCTTTTTGTTTTGGTAGTGTTCTTTGGTGTTGTATGGCCTGAGGGCATATTCAGTGCAAAGTGCGCTTGCTTTGTGTTCAGAACCAAGGCTGCAGTGAAATTGCAAGCGCTACCAGAAACACCTGGGAATCATTATGCATTTGATTTTTAATTAATTTTTATTGTTGCACGTTCAGAAACCTTTTATTGTTGCCGAACTTTTCATGACCCTATGGAGTTGCAATCCAGTTTAAGAGGTGCTGCTCTAGACTACCCAAGGGAAGAAAAATTTGTCTGCTTTTCAAATGTATACCCTTGTGTTGAAGAAAGCAACAACACAAATCAAAAACAAAACAAACGAACAAAACCTTTGAAGAAAAATAGTAGCTGATTTCAACCATGGAAAGAAAAGATGGGAGATGGCCCTAAAATTATACATATAATAGATTATCCCCAAATCCCTCTTCTCAAAATGTTTCTGTCCCTAACATCTCCTCCATGGAAGGCTTCTGTTTCTGTTCATTAACATACTAAAATTTCATCCACCTCAACCTACTAAATAAAGTTAGTTTGTATTCTATTACAGAGGAAACTGATATTTGGATATTAAAGAATTTCAGAAGAAAAATGGAAAGGACAGAATCTGAGAGTACCAGGGGTAACAAAAGTACTCTATAAACCTGAAGAATAATAAAAACTAGTAAAAAAAAATGCATTTAATTGGAATGTTCTTGTAATAGAAGTATTATGTAATAAAAGAAAAAGTGCAATTAAAGCATGAAAACTTTTGAAAACTCTCACTAAAATACACTGGCCTATTTTTTCTGACTCAGTAACTGTAGTGCAGTGAACACAATTGTGTTTGGAGGATTGTACTGCCTTTTAGGGTCATCATTTTGACCCTGAGAAAATTCATTTTCTTTAACATTACAGATATAAAAGGTAGATTTTGATTGAATCTGTCTTCACCCCAGAAAATCTGTTAAAAAAAAACCCTTTGTTAGTCTGTCTCCTTATTTTGTCTATCTGCCTCTTTTTCTCCCCCTAAAAGTAAAATGACCAAAAGATTCTGATTATTTCAAAGTTCCTGAGAGGCACAGCATCACCTGGTGGTTATAGTGTCAGGAAGGGTTCACCTCCCAGCTCTCAAACATTCTGGCTGTATGACCCTGAAGAAGTCACTTAGGACTGTGGGCAATTCTCTAAGTCTATAAACTAGAGAGAAGGCACTGGCCTGTGTTGGTAGGAGGAGTTTCCTCACCAGATAGCTCCTTATTCTGGTGAAATCACAGGTCTAGTCCTTCATCATCTGGGTTCTTGTTAATGAAGGTTTTAATGTTACATATCAGTATGAAAATGACCACTTAAAGATGATAAGAAGACAGCGGAAGTGATTTTTATTCCCATTGCTCTTACCTTAAAATCTTCCTTACATAAGATATTCTTAAACAAAGGATGAGAAAGCATTGCTTCCATATAAAGATCAGTTGCTAATCTGCTCCCACCCACTGTTCCATTGATTCCTTCTGTAGCAATTCGAACCTAAAATATTAAAAAACGGCAAAGTTAAAAATCAGGGCTCACCAGAGTAAGAGGATATTGTTCGGTTAATTTTCTGCACCAGAACCACTAAACCATTAACTCCTTCAAAAGGGCTACCATATGTTATATTACGGGACATCTAACAGTGCTCTTTGGCTAAGGAAGAAATATTTATATTTCCACTGAAAATCCCAGGCAGACAAATATTTTACCTAGACTGAATGGATGTTTGGTTATAGAAGTGAATTCTGATCCTTCTTATGTGCAGTGTTTCTAGAAATTCAAGATGTGAAAATCCTATATACAAATGCATCTTGCGGATATAATTTCCTACTCAAACCTTTCCTCTCTCTAATGATTCTATGTTCACTGCATTCTTTTGGTTACTTTCTTTCTTTTCCCTGATTCAAGGCTAGAGTCTTGCTGAAATAATACCTTAGGGTCCATGTCTTCTTCAGCACCTTATAGCTGAGGCTGCCTTATAACAAGGTCTGTCAGGGACTCAGTTATTAAATTTTTTAGAAGGGTTCAGAAATTCAGTAATCAGATAACTGAATTCCATCTAACTGTAGCTATTCAAGCCTAATCTAAATTATTATTGCTATTGTTGATACTAATAGTATTCATGAGAATTTGAAATCAGTTTTGCAGGTAGGAATTTTCAAATGTACTACGAATTTAAAAAACATTTCATTCCATTCTGGAACTTAAGGGGTAGCGTTCCCTGACATTTTAAAGTGATTATATACACAAACCAGTTTGGCAAAATGAAGATCAAGAAGTCAATTTGACATCACTTCTGTTAAGTTCCTTTAAACTTGGTGAAAGGTAATAGCTATGATACTATACTAATTTGTTATCAGAACAAAGGAAAAGATTAACCTCAGTTCTACTCCCCATGAAACCAGAGTGCGGCATAACACAGAACAGTGAGCTACAAATACAAACCTTATGACTATTCCAGGCAAAATCATAAATCCAATCATAATGGAGGGCCTTAAACATAAGAGGGGCTAAGATTACAGAGAGTTATGAAAGTCCTTTGGCAGGGGCATAGGATAAAGCCATTGCTAGAAAGTGGAAGAAACCAAAGAGCAATGCTTCACTTATCTGGAGGTCACTACCTACCCTCAAATATTAAGGCTACAGTTATTACCCTAGAAGTAAAGAAAAAAGGCCTCTCACTGGCAATGAAAACAATGAGATGCAACCACCCTCAGGCATACTGACTTAGAATTGTGTATAAAACAACACAGCATCAATAACTAAACAACTGAGAAGTCAGAAAAACTGTACAAGTCAGTTACTGAATAGTACCTTGGTAACCTCAATATCCTCAAAAGGTACTGTATCAGCATGTTACAATAACTGATTTTCATAATGACAACTCAATTACACAAGAAAGGTTAAATTATATTCCGCAAATTCTATCAAAGTCAGGAAGTAGGTAATGCACTCGGGAAATATCACCATGAAAAATGACAAAATTGCAAAAGCTGTGACTCCAAAGGAGCAGGAAACAGTTATCTGGAATATTCCCTTCTGAGGAATTCCTTTTTTTTTTTAACAATAGCAGAAAAATGGGATGAATTTATGAAGCATTCTGCTCTATGGTTTCAACCTAGAAAAGCTTCAATTTTGATAGGAGAAGGAAAAAAACAAAACTAATTTGGCTTCTACTCCAATTACATTAGGCTAAGGGACTCAGGGGAAAGGTGAAACTTATATTATTGCTTCTTTGAATCTGATGCTTTAACATATGCTGTTTTTTTTTTAAAAGTCAATTCTAGTGGGCAGCTAGGTGGCACAGTGGATAGAGCTCCAGCCTTGGAGTCAGGAGGACCTGAGTTCAAATCCAACCTCGGACACATGATACTTACTAGCTGTGTGACTCTGGGCAAGTCACTTAACCCCAACTGCCTCACCAAAAAAAAAAAAGAAAAAAGTCAATTCTAGATTTTTTTTTAATGTTGCCAATTAAAACTTATTTTTTAAAAAAATATTGTCATTTCACATAGATTTCTGAAGCACCTTACCTTTCACTTATGTGAAATTTTGGAGAAAGATTTAATTTTTCCCTTAGAAATAAATTTTTTTTTGAGAACTATTTCAAACTATGTTGGTGCTTTTTCAGCTGTGTACAGATATACTGGTTCATCTCCCAATTATGTATTTTTAAATGAAACAGTTTGCTCCTACATTAATTGGCTTTTGTATTTATTCTGTTTGTGGTTGATAAAGTGCTTCTTAATTAAAAATGTTACACTTCCAAAAATACATAACTGATCACTGAACATGTATAGCTAAAAGAAAGTTCTAAAAGTTTAGTAGGACAATTTCAGGGATGGAGGGCTTGACTGAGTGCTGGAAAAATTCTAGAATGTGTTTTTAAAGGGACAATTTGTAAGCATGTAGAAGGAGAAGCCAGTAGAGATTTTTCAGGGAGAAGTCCTGTCTGTCTAAACTAATTTCCTTTTCTGACAGTTACTAGACAGGCAAATCAGAGGAATGCCAAAAATATAATTAATTTGGATTTCAGCAAAAGATCTGACAAAATCTCTTTATCATTCTATCTTTCTGGACAAAATTAAGAGATGTGGGGTAGATATAGAGCAGTTGGATGGGTCTGAAAGCTGGAGAATGAACACACCAAAAGACAGTCCCTGTCACCTTGGAGGGAGTTCCCTAGCGAATTGTCCCAGGGATCTATGCTTAGCTCTGTGCAGTTCACCACTTGTACCAATGCAGAGAGCTGAATGAACATAGCAATAAGCCAAATAACTGATTTAGTTACTTTGTTCTGATAAGCTAAATTTTCCAGTTAACCTAAGTTTTATTTTCTAGCTAACTTAACTGTTGATTCACAATCTCAGATTTAGAAGTAACTTTAGAGGTCATCTAATTCAACCTACACCTTAAGAGGAATCTCCTCTAACATTTCTGTTATAGAGATGACATCTAGCCATGACCAAGCCACTGCATGGTACTGCCTGAGTTCACCCAGTACACTTTAGAGCAGCTCAAATTTTTAGCAAGTTTTCCCTACATTTGACCTAAATCTGGTTTCCATCCCTAATTTTTCCCTGTGGGGCCAAGAAGACATAGTTTAATCTCTCTTTCATGTAACAGCTTTTAATTCCTTGGAGAGATAGCTATCATGTACGTCTGCCCAAGTGTTCTTTTCTCTAGCCCCAACACCCCCATTTCCTAGCATCAAATGTCTTGGATCACCTCTCCACCCTGAATGTCCTCCTCTGCTGTTTGTCTACAGCCTTCCTAAACCACAGTATGCAGAACAGTACACAATATTTCATAGATGGTCCACTAGGGCAGAGTAGTACAGCAGGACTGTCACCTCCCCTGTCTGCATACTATGTTTCTCTCTTTGGAAAAAAAAAGTTTTTGTTTTGTTTTGTTTTGTTTTTAAAAAGGTTGCATCTCCCTGTCTCGCCCAGGTTAGAAGTTCAGATGCCACTCACAAGTTCGACCCCCTCTTACTGATACAGAAGCCTTAATGTGCTTCATTTTCAGCCCGGGCCAGTTCATTGTTCTTAGGCATCCTGCGAGCTCATCACATTGGTGCCTGTCATGGTTTGAACACCAGCCTCCCTCAAAACAGGGATTTACAGGTGTATGCCACCATACCTTAGAAATCCAGCACTCTTTCCCCTGTATCACACTGCCTCTAGAGTACATTTATACAATAATGGTTCACATTTATGTAGCACTTTATAGTTAACAAAGTGGTTTCCTCACAAAAACCCTATAGAGGCACAAAGCGAAGAGAAATTTTATCAGCCGCTTGAAGGCAATGGCCAGGGGAGACAAAGCCCACAGCCTCAGATTGAGAGTTGTACTCATCTACCCCATGTACCTCAGGGCCCATCTAGTTCTAAGCCCTCATTGTAGGATACTTCAGTCCTGAGAGGTCAAGCAACTTGTTCAACGTCACACAGGTAGGAGGCAGCAGAGGATGTTTTAGAACCCGGGCCTTCAGACTCCAAAGCCAGCACTCTTCCATCATGCTTCACTGTCTGTCTAGTGAGAAATTAAGTAATGGACCCATTTCTTAAAAAACACCTTTTTCTTTAAAAAATGCTGTCAGAAAAGGCCATTTGTTTCATTAGATAGCAAAAGATGAGTTGAAACTCCCTACCACTAGTGTTACTGGGGCAGTGACAAAGAAAATATATGTGAGTCTCACTTTCCATACTGGGTGTTCTTGAAAGGCTGTCCATAAACCAAGGTTTTATAAAACTAAGCTGTACTTTAAATGAACACTAGGATTTCAATAGTTAACAAACTACATAATGAATTCTTTTGCACTAATGAGTAATATTTATATGTTAAACTTTGCTCACGAGGTTTTATTTAAGTGAGGATTGCCCTTCTAATGACTACACCAAAGAAAAAAATGTAGGAAAATGTCATCTGTATAAAACCTTACCTTTCCTGTGAGGTGCAGATGTTGGCACAAAGCTTTCTGCCAAGCACAAAGCCATTCTGGATCCTCTACGTCACAGTAACAATAATATAGTAGTACTACTCCTTGATTGCTATCCTGTGCACTGCAAAAAGATCAAGCAAAACAAATAGGAAAATCAGTTGCCAAAGCCAGAAAGTCACAATCAGTACTGTATCAGTACCACAATCAGTACACACCTGAAATCTGAGTGAGGACATAAACTAACCTGTTAACTAGCACAGCTTATGCCTGCCTTTGTCTTCCCTCTCCTTTCTCATCTAAAAGTTAATCATTTTTAAGACTCAGATCAAATCCTGTCTTCTTTGATGCCTTCCTACCTATTTTGGAGTTTCTCTGTAGCACACAATCTAGCACTTAATTACTGTTATGTCCTCTGTAATACTATTGGGCTAATTTTTTCCATGTGTCTCCCCAACTAGATTAAAATTCCTACAGTGAAATATATAGGTATATTTCTAATGACAAAGACAATGAATTACAAAGATACTTTTTTTTTAAGGTCAGAAATTTCATTACCACAGGTATGTGGACATTGTCTATGGGGGACTATGGGATGGAAGCATTTGCTACTAACAAACAGAATACTGAATGCGCTGGATTACACAACTGGGAGTCTTGGGACAGAGGGTTTCGGGGAAGAAATCTGTTAGGGTACCTTTCCTAGTACACAGTGAGTTCTAGACCCTAGTTGAAACCAGAGATAAGAGACAGATATTCCTCTGATCCATAGCAGCTAGACTGCCTCAGCTAGTCTACCTCAGGGAACTAGGGAGGGGGGAAGGAGGTAATTGAAGAGAGTAAGACCGCAGATGATTTCTGAGGCCTCTTTGTTCCACCAAATTTCTTCCCACCTGCTTACTGATTTTGAAAATTTCTCTCACAGTTAAAGACATCAAGCTTTAAATGCAGATACTAGTGGAAGAAACACCTAAGTCTATTTATACTTAAGTGTAGTCAACAAAAGTTTATATATGACTGACATCATATCCTTCCCTGTTTTGACAGCAAAGTAAGCATAAAGAACTAAAATTGGGAGAGATTCTAGAAGTAGGGGTTCCCACTATGGGAACAAAAGGGGAGGTTTTACAACTTTATCTAGGGTTAGCAGAGAATCAGTTTACGGAGGTACTTTTATCATAAATGGCTAAGAATGCTTGCTCTGCCTCAAATGAATTCACTAAAAAGGAGCTTTGTTCCCACAAGATGCCTTAATGGAGGTATCAGTGTATTGCTTTTGTATCCCAAAGAGTGACAATTCATTCTTTTTATTTAGTCACTAAGGACTTGGTGACTAACTGAAGTCAATGACAATGAAGCTAAACAAAGAGCTTTTTAAATGACATTTCTTGGCATCCACCAGACTTGGAGGGAAAAAACCATGGTTGCTTACTATATTGTTTTCACTTTGAAGCAGTCTTAAAAAAAGCCTTTGGGATAGAAACGAAATTTGGTAACAAGGATCACAACCTGGCTATCCAGACTTGAGTAAACTATAGAATTTCTTTAGCTAAAAGGTCCCTTTTTCAAGTGAAAGGCCCTATAGAAATCATCTAGTTCAACCCATTACAACAATCCTTTCTACAGCATTCCAGATAGCTATCTAGAGCCCGCCTGAATACAAAGTTTTCAACTAAAACGTGGATCATATTTTAAAAGCCTGTTTATAAAGTGGTTGGGGGCATTTCCCATAGAAACAGCATAAGATGGCGAGGTTCCAGGGTTAGCCAAGAGAAGTCTATTTAATTGACAATGTTCTTGGAGTGTACAGCATTTATGATACTACAGAACCTCATATAACCAAATATGATAATGCTTTACGACTCTATTGCCTCTGGCACAATATATACTTCTCTGTTTAGCTTTTTAAAGCCTCTCACAACCTGGCCCCAGCCTACCTTTCCAGGCTCACTGTGTATCACTGCCCTTTCCTTCCTCTGTGATCCAGTCAAACTGGCCTCCTCCTTCTGTATCTTGTGGTTCCATATCCTGTTGTACCTCTGTACTCACTATCCCCCGTGCCTCGTATGTCCTTCCTTCTCACTTATAGCTCATAGAAACCCTTTCTTCCTTCACGCTACAGCTCAAGCACCAATATCATAAAGCATTTTCTGATCCCCCAATTACTAATGTCTGCCATCCTAAACTACTTTATATTGAATTACCTTTTTTTATCCTGTATATGTTCGTATATATACATGTCTCTCCTTGAGAGTCAGAAATGTTTTTTAATTTATATTTGTACACCTAGCACCTTGTCAGGCACATAGTGGGCACTCAATAAACGCTTGTTATTGACTGAGCGTAGGGGGAGTTGTGTTTAGAGTTTCAATCTGGGAAGTCAGAAAAAACTTTTACTCTTCCTCTTCCCTTAACAGTCAGATCACAGACTCCCCAAATTCCAATCTATTGGTGGTGATTCCTTTAGCCAAGGGTAGGAGATCCAACATGGTAGGGGCTTGGGGGAGGGATAAAGAACAGTAGTTCGAAGTGGGAGTGGGTAAGGAACGGGATGGGGACTGGAACACACAGAGGGTTATGTGTAAGCTTCAGCTGGTCAACAGGAAAGAAACAGCCGGCACGGGATGAGGGTCGGGGACAATTAGGGAGGAACAGCACATTCTCCCAGTCCAAATGTCCAAATGACACTTCTCAGTCCTGAAAAGGTGCTCCAGGCATTTTCCTTTTCTCTGGGAGCCCCACAGATTGGCTTCTCTCTCTCTTTTTTTTCATTGTCCCTGGCTCTTGCTACTAAAGATTGGTCCTCCTTGGCCCTCTATGAAAAGAGAAGAGTCTCAAAGCTTCCCTTCAGATATCCTGGCCCCAAGGCTATTGAAGTATTTTTACTGCTAGCAAAATCAAGAAAACAACCACAACACAGAAAGGCCCCTTCTAATATTTCTTCTGGGGCAGCTAGGTGGTACAATAGATAAGAGAGCCACGTCTGGTGTCAGGAAGACCTGAGTTCAAATTTGGCCTCAGACATTTACTAGCTGTGTGACCCTGGGCAGGTCATGTAACCCTGTTTGCCTCAGTTTCCTCATCTGTAAAATGAGCTGGAGAAGGAAATGGCAAACCACTCTAGTATTTTTGCCAAGAAAACCCCAAATGGGGTCATGAAGAGTCGGACATGACTGAAACGACTGATTGAGAAAATATTTTCTTTTTTTTTTTTTATAGTAGGTACTTATGTAGTAGGGAAAAACAAATGAAGGAATGCTTAAGTAAGAAAATGTATGTGAAATTTTTTTTAACTTTAAAGTGATTATTATGACCACTATTAAGGTCTGAGCATTTGTTTTAGTGTAGTTAACCATTTGCCTCATGCACACCTAGAGTAGAAATGTCCTATGACTACTTTAGGGGAAACAGTGAGTTATAGGGTCAGCAGCACTGGACTTAAGTTAGGAAAACTGTGGGATCAAATTTGTTTCTGACACTGCAAATATGAGTAAATCATCTGACTACTCTCAGCTTGAGTCTCCTCATTTATAAAATAGAGGCGATGAAACCAGTGTTACTCACCTCACAGGGTGTTCTGATGACCAGATGAGAAAACATCTGTAAAGGGCTTTGTAAACTTTTAAGTGGTAACAAGTGACAGTCATCATTATTCTAACCCAATATTTGGCCCAGTGGAGACAGAAGAAGCTGTGATAGGGTGTTGTTGGATCAGGAATCAGAAAGAAATAGGCTCAAATCTCTGTATCAATACTTGTGAGCTGTGACTCTGGGCATATCATTTAATCTCTCTAGGCCTCAGTGCCCTCCTCTTTAAAAAAACAGGGTTGGATCTGATGACCTCTAAGATTTTTTAATGCTTCCAGCCCTGTAATGATGATGATGGTGACGATTTGTTAAGGTTAGTGTCCAATTTACCTTTGACTGTCCTTTAGTTTTCAAATATTTGCCTGCTCTACATTCACAGCTATGCCAGTCTCTGCATTTCCTTCCGCTCTGATTAGCTGGTGCTACTTAATCTAATTCCCTAGTCCTTGCTTCCCTGAACCATCTAGGTACCATGACCTAGTTTACCTTAAGAGATTTTTTGTCTCAAGTAAGGCACTCTGCTGCCCCCTGCTGTCCCCCAGGAAAAAACAACAGGTCTCTTTCTTACCCCTTTCTCTTTGTAAAGTATATTAGTGCTTACCAAATGCCTGCTACATACAGAACATGGTGCTAAGTGCCGGGGAAGCCCCCCAGAATAATTAATACATAATTTTAGCCGTCACAGAGCTGATAACTTATTAGTCTTGGATTCCCTTAGTTTGTGTCACACATGGGCTGCCTCATGCCTTGGACATATCAAGTACTCAATAAATATTTGTTATATTGAACTGAAAACTGAATTGAGGTACTTGAACAGCTATCTGACCTGTGAGTCTGCAGCCTGAGAATCTGTCCTGCCTACTGCTTCAACACTCTCTTCTCCAAAAAAGAGTGTCTGTTGTTTGCCACCCTCCTCCTCACCAGCACTGCTGCCACCCCTGATCTCTGCCGTTCCCTTTTCTAGGCTCCTCCTGTTTCACAGCACTTGTTCCATGCTTCTTGGCTTTCTGGCAAGAAGGCTGGAAGACACGAGGCAACCAGAATAACTTTCCAACTTCCGGGGGGTAAAGTGACCAGTCTATCAGGCTTAATTTCAGGTCCGCCAAAGATGCCTTCTTATTTTGTTGGGAGAAGAATAAGAAGGGGAAAGAACTTCTGAGTTTGGAGCAGCTCAGGAAAACCAAGGGAAAAGGTGAGGAGGTGGGTAAAATACTTCGTAAGAGGATACACTGTCAACTCTATACATCTCAATCTTCCAAGGATATCAGTACATTACAGCACAGTGCATCGATGGGCATAATGATAACCTAACAAAAAAAGTTAAATTATGTCCAGTATGCTCTAAGAACCATGTGTTCCATATGCAATACGTGTGAGAAATAATTCCACCAAATATGACTGTTTGAAAGGGGTTTTATGCTTAAAAGAGCAAGTTACAGTACCTACAGTATGTGACAACAATGTCAGATGTCCTATAGAAGTATATCTGAAAATATCTGAAAGAGCTACCATTTTAAGTAGGTGACAGTTACTGAGATGACTGGATAGCTTAAAAAAATTCAAAATAAATAAAGAAAATCTAACCTCATTAGTTCATCAAGTTTAAAGCGGCTTGTGTCTGGAAAGTCAACAGACACTTGATGGTTAGACGTACTAGGCCCATTTAATCCATTCGGCTTGTCTGCAGACACACAGGGCTTGGGGGTCCCAGCCTCAGCAGCCAGTTGCTTTAAAACAGAAGAGGTCTGATGATAAACATCTCCTGCATGCTGTGCAGCTGTATGTCTGTGGATGCCAATTTGGTCTTTGAAGACCTGCTGGCAGCATGTCCACCACACTCCTTTGCAGAGAGATGAAGAGCAGCTGGTAGGTTCTGGAATTTCCTTTGTTTTGACCAAAAGGGCAAATGCCTGTAACATATTAAAAATAGCATCAGTCAGCCTTCTTATTACTAGGACAAAGTTGCGAAGAACCTAAGGTTTTAGTATGAAGGGTTAATTTCTATGAAGTCCTTTTCTCTGGGGTTTTTGCTTTAAGTCCTGGGTCAAATTAATGAACTGCTCTGGGCCTTCGTTTCTCCAACAATAGATTATATGTTCTTCCTAGTTTTAAAATTCTATAGAAATGCTGCTTCAATTTCTTTATTAATAACTAGGTTTCCCGTACCTAAAAAAACACTTGTACAATATGGGTAAAAGTATGTAATAATCAAATGCATTTGGAAAAACAAAAGGTCAAGGAGATATCAAAGGAATTAATGAAAAAATAATGTAAAGGAAAGAGGTTTAACAGTACCAGATCTTAAACTATATTTTAAGGCAGTAATTATCAAATCTATCTGGTATTGACTAAGAAATAGAAAGGTGGATCAGCGGAATAGAGTAGACATCAAATACATAGTAGTAAATGATTACAGTAACCTCATGTTTGGCAAATGTAAAGATTTAAGCTTTGGGGATGAGAATTCACTATGTGGTAAAAATCGTTGGGAAACCTGGAAAGCAGTATGGCAGAAAATGGGTATAGACCAACATCTTATACCATTTAGCAAGATAAGGTCAAAAAGGATATATGACCTAGATATAAAGTGAGCTATCACAAGAAAATGAGAAGAACATGGAACATATTACCTATCAGAATTATGGACAGGAGAACAATTTATGAATAAACAAGAGAAAGAGAGCATTGTGAGATATAAAATGGATAATTTTGATTACAATAAATTAAAAAGTTTTTGTTTAAATAAAACCAACATAGCCAAGATTAGAAGGAAAGTGGAAAATTGGGGGGATATTTTCATAGTTTCTTGTATAAAGGTCTCATAGCTCAAATATACACAGAACTTCATCAAATTTATAAGAATATGAGTCATTCCCCAAATGATAAATGGTCAAATGACATGAACAGGTAGTTTTCTGAGAAGAAATCAAAGCTATATACAGTTGTACCAAAAAAAATGCTTTAAATCATTGTTTATTAGAGAAATGCAAATTAAAACAATTTTGGGCTATCATCTCGTACCTATCAGGTTGGCTAAAATGAGAGAAGCAGAAAATGACAAACGTTGTAGGGGATATGGAAAAACTGGAATGCTAATACACTATCATAGAACTGTGAACTGATCCAACCATTTTGGAGGACAATCTGGAATTATGCCCAAAGAGTTATAAAACTGCATACCTGTTGACCCAACAATACTACTATTAGGTCTGTTTCCCAAAGTGATCAAGGAAAAAGGAAAAGGACGTACATGTTCTAAAATGTTTACAGCACCTCTCTTTGTGGTGGCAAAGAATTGGAAATTGAGTGAATGCCCATCAATTGGGAAATGGCTAAACAAACTGTGATATACAATTGTGATAGAATACTACTATGATGTAAGAAATGATGTGCTGGTTGATTTTAGAAAAACATGGATAGGCTTACATGAAATAATAAAGAGTGAAATGAAAAGAACCAAGAGAATGTTGTATACAGTAACAGCAATACTGTTTGAAAAACAACTGTAGGGGCAGCTAGGTGGCTCTCAGCGGATAAAGCACCAGCCCTGAAGTCAGGAGGACCTAAATTCAAATCCGGCCTCAGACCAAACACTTGACACGTATTAGCTGTGTGACCCTGGGTAAGTCACTTAACCCCAATTGTCTAAAACAAAACAAAAAAAAAGAAAAACAACTGTGGATGACTAAGTTATTCTGTGTATTATAAATACTCAAATCAATTATAAAGGATCTATGAAGGAAGATAGTATCTACTTTCAGAAAACTGATAAATATAAGTATATCTAGCATGGTTTTATACCCCATCCTCCAATGTGTGTGTGTGTGTGTATGTATGTGGGGTTTTTTTTTGTTACATTTTAAATTCCTGTCTCCCGTCCTCCCTCCCTCCCCACGCTGCACTTTGTGTATATGTGAAATGGTGGCCTTCTTCAGTGCAGGAGGCACTTAAAATGTAACCAAAAAAATTTAAGTTAAATTTTTAAAAAGTCAGTGTGGTGTAACAGAGAGAGCACTGGACTTGATTTCTGTCACACGAGAGACAAAGCCAGAAACTGAAAATAGTGATTCTGTCCGTTAATGCATGATTTTCAACAAGTCTAAATAGTCTAAATATCTTTAGACAAGTCTAAATACCCTGAGTCTCAATTCCCTCATTTGTAAAGTAGAGATAAGAATTCTTATACTCTCTCATAGGACTGTGAAAATCAAATCAAGTAAAATAACCACAAAATACTAGATAAAAGTAAGTTACTACTACCCAAGAAAATAAGTACTGGCTTATATTAACAGAGGCAAAAAAGGAATTACTGTGGCTTAAATTAAAATCAAGTCTTGGCCTATATTATATTTAACCTACTGCTTCTCCTATTAAATCCCTATGAGTATGACTTTCATGGAAATCACTAGGCAGGAAAACTGTTGCTACAAGCAGATAAAATTATTTTTCAGTCTAGGAAATGGAGATAATAGAAGAAGAAAGTATGGGTAGCAAAAAAAGGGACATCATTAAATTAACAACTACCAACATCAATTTGAGGCTGTAAAATATATTGGATAGAAAGCCCACTTCAGAGTCAAGAATACCTCGGTATAAGTCCTACCTCTGATATATGCTAACTGTGTGACCCTGGACAAGTCACTATCAATATCCCAATGCTCCCAGGTACCTAAGGCTTTTATCTAAAGACTTTTAATTGAAATTAGGTGCTGATCTGCATTGGTAGAGAGAGAATTTCCTCACCAGGAGTTCCCAGATCCAATGAAATCACAAATCTGGTTCAAAAAACCCCAAAACATTTATTAGGCATTATGTTCAAGGTAATGTACCAGTGACTGGGTGAAGAGTCAAAAAACAAAAAACAACAAACAAAAAGTCCCTGTTCTTAAGACACTTACCTATTATTTTAATTGAATTAAAAGATGAGGTCAATGAAAATGTTGAAAATTAAACAATTATTGTACCTTGACAATTTCTGAAATGTATCTGCAAGGCTTAGTGTCATGTCATGAGTATTTAAAAAGAACACTGAAGGCTGATCGAGATGGCACAGAAGAGCTGTTGCTGGATTTATTTGCATAACCATACATAATATGGTGAGAGTATTTTTACCTTTTTCTTTGCGTGTGCATACTTCTTCCTCATATTAGCATCTAATTCTGCTCTGAGACTACTGCTGGGAGAAACAAGGTTTGTGTCTTTCAAATCCAGGTCTGGAAATCTCAATATACAGGAATCCAGGTCATCTCCTTGGGCTGGTAGCATAGAAGAAGGCATCATTGTTTTACTACAGTTGTGAGCCTGATATTTCTTTGGGTTTAACTACCTGTTAAATAAGAAAAGGAGAAAGATCAATATTAAAGACCAATGGGAAAACCCAATAATAATCAGCTATACAAATCAGCAGTAACCCAGGCCAGGGCTCAGGAACCTGTGGCCTCGAGGTCACATGTGGCCCTCTAGGTCCTCAAGGGTGGCTCTTCGACTGAATTCAAACTTCACAGAACAAATCCCCTTAATAAAAAGGATTTGTTCTGTAATACTTGGACTCAGTCAAAGGGGCACACCCAAGGACCTAAAAGGCCACATGTGGCCTTGAGGGCCGCAGGTTCCCCATCACTGACCTAGGACCTTGAAAGAATTTGTGGAGAGTTTTTAAAAAAAAAGGCAAAACAAACAAAAAAAACCTTCAGTGGTGGGTCAGTAAAAGCTTATTGATGAATTCATGTTACTAAACATTTATCAGGCACTTGCTATGTCTAAGACACTGTGCCAGGCAGCTTTCTTTGATTTCCTACTCTTAGCTTCTTACACTTGCTTCCTTTGGGGAATAACAGTAACCAGCATTTATTCATCTCTCTCTCTCTCTCTCTCTGTCTCACACACACACACACACACACACACACAAATAAGTGTCTGAGGAAGGATTTGAATTCAGGTCTTCCTGACTCCAAGTGCAGTGCTCTTTCTACTACGCCACCTAGGTAACACAAAGAATGGGCACCAACACTGAACGTGTTATCCAGACACAACATAACACACTAAAAAAATGGTAGGTTGAATTGCATTTTAAAGAGCTCAAAGAGTACATCAGAATTGCTAAGCTGTATGAAATCTTTGTGGAATAGAATGATTATGGTAGCATATAATTACATAGCACTCATTCTTTTAAAACTTTTTAAAATAAAAAACAACTTTTGTACAAACACAGTAATAAATCAGAAGAGGATATTATCTTTTTCCCCTGTAACTATATTTAAATATGATAGCCAATAAAATTAGACACGTTTTTTAAAAATGTATTAGTGGCATGGGTTACTTGATGAATTACCATATCTACCCAAACTAAGCAACTTCAGTAAAGCTGAGATCTACATTAGACAATTCTGTCTTAATTTCAGATTCTGTGAAAAATGACAAGTGATCATCTTCTGACTAGAAGATGTGATAAGAGGAAAATTTCCTATGCCTTTCTATGGTATTTAAAGATCATTTTTATCATGCCTGGGGTTCAAGTTGATAACTTGCATGTACAGTTAGCCGTTCCACATCATGGGGTTGAAGCCCTTCCTTCCTACCAGAGAATTCTGAATTATTATGGTATTAAAAGATAAACTATGTTGCTGTTACATAATATTAGAAATATGTTTTATGCATTTTTGAGTTTCTAAGCTTTTTCTGTGTCATCTGCTAGGCTTCACGTATTGTCTGCAGATTCCACAAAACTCCCCCAAAATCCCACTTAATCTCTCATTCTGAACCATGACATATCGAAACCACAATGGGGAAAATCACGATGTGGAAGCGATAACTACATATAAGGCTGAGCAAAGCACTTCCTGGCTGGTGACGTTTAGATGGGTAGAGACTGAAAAATAACAGGACCATGACCTCAAGATAATAACAAACTGAAGTTTATGAGTTTCTTTGTGGAAATCTATACCTTATATGTTAACAAAGTGTCTTGAAGCAAGAGAAATTCCTTTTTGCGTGACTATTACAACTAGTTAGCTTAATTTGTATAGGTATAATAATTGACAAAGCATCATATCACCAGTCCAGCATTTTAAAAACAGGTCAAATTTTAATTACAGAAGGAAGGAAAAGCAGAATTTGCCCTCTCACATACATTAGTCTAGAACCATATTTTGTTATTTTTGCATTTACAAATATAATTTACAAGTAACATTTGCTTTAAATTAAAATTTATTTTAAAAAGACTGTAACTCTTCCTTTTATACCATGTATCAATAATCTTCCATTTTAACAAAGTTTAGATACAAAGTGACAATTTTTATATTCCGAATTCACTTGAAAAACTGATACAATACTTGTAGAGTGTGTGAGTAAAGAGTTTTGTAAACATTAAAACACCACCTCAATGTAAGCTATTTAAACTCAGAAAGAAATCCAACCTGTAACTTTATTAAGTACCCTAGCATTCTATGTTTTGTAAAACATATCAAACTTTACTACTGTATAGGTATTCAAATACCAGTAATCTGTACGAATACCCCATCAAACAAATAACATTTTTAAAAGACTGATTGCTAAGTAAACATAAACTTTTGAATAGATTTGTTAAGTGGGGGGAAAAAAACCCCATAGCTTTCCTTTACACATTACAATTTGCAAAGTGCTTTTTCTCACAACAGTCCTGTAAAGCAGGTAAGTTATCCTCATCTTACAGCTAAGGAAACTGAGGTCCAAAGAGGTTAAGTGACTTCTCCAAGGTCACAGAGCCAGGATGGCAAAGTCAAAATGTGAACACAGGCCTTGTTTTTAAATCTGGTGCTTCTCCCCTCTCCCACCTTGCCAATTATAACACTGTCTCTATTAACAAAATGAATACATTCCAATAACATAATTTGTCAGAAACTTTGTTACCATCATCAAAACAGTTACTGAGTGCCTATTGCTGGGACCTAAAGAAAGGCATTATTCCAGGAATAGAAGTCAACATATTTGAATAAATTAATTGAAAAATCAATCTATTTCAATAAATGAAAATGGAAAGGATCATCCAGAAACTACTAGTTATCAATGGCATTATATCAGCTTGATTTGAAAGTGGTAATACCGTCCTGTATAGCTTGCTTCCAAGCCAAGTGCCTGGTGATGTCTGCTAGTAGGGCTGAACGAAATGCCTGAATACTATTTTGTCCAACTTGTTTTTTTCTCCTGTATTCTAACTAAATGTGTGCAGGTCTATTTATATGCATGCATACATACACAAATATATGCATACACACATATGCACACGCCTGCGCACGTGCGCGCACACACACACACACACACACACACACACACACAGATCAAGAGGCAGAGTGAAGACTAGTGAACCACACTCTTAAGCACCCACTGTGACACTGATATGTATGCACAGAGCGAAAGAATGACGAAGACATGGAGAGAACATAATACTAAACACCTGTTGAGCTTGTGATCTACATGTTAAATGCTTATGTACATAAATATGGGAGTCAGTGTAGTGTTACGGAAAGAGTCTTAGGATCAAAAGACCTGGGTTTGAATATTATTTGAGTTACCTAACCTCTTGAAGTCTCAGTTTCCTTATTTGTAAAATGAAGGAACCAGACTAAATAAATGATCAAAAGATTACACAATGAGAGCTAGAAGTGATTTTTGTTGTTCAGTCATATCTGACCCTTAAAAGACTCAATTTGGAGTTGTCTTAGCAAAGATACTAGAGTGGTTTGCCATTTCCTTCTCTAGCTCATTTTTCAAATGAGGAAACTGAGGCAAACAGAGTTAAGTGACTTGCCCAGGGTCACACAGCTAGTAAGTGTCTGAGGACTGATTTGAACTCAGGTCTTCCTGATTCCAGGCCTAGCGCTCCATCCACTGTGCCCCCTAACTGCCCACAAGTGATGTTAGCAGCCACATAGCCCAACCCCCTAATTTTACAGATGAGGAAACTTTAATACAGACAAGTTAGGTGACTTGCCCACAGCTACAGAAACAATAAGTGGCAGGGCTGAGATTTGAACACAGGTCCTCTGGGTCCTCTGACTGCAAATCCAGCCTTCCTTCAATTAAATCAGGATCTCTAAGGTCTTTTCTAGCTCCAGCATCTATGATCCTGTATGTGATATATGTGAATAAATGAAAAAGTATTTATTACTTTAGAACTGTGCTTAATGTAATATGCATTTAAAATATTTATCTATAACACAAAAATGATATTTACACGTTATTAATTAGAATATGGACTGTATCCACAAGCATATCACACTTTCCTTTTCTATACCCGCACCTTTTTAATTCCCTATGTCTAGAATATCCTGCAGCCCCAACCCCTCTTCTTCTACTGCTCTCCTATCCCTCCTTCAAAGTCCAGTTCAAATGCCATCTCCTCCTTCATGCCTTATTTCCTAAGTGAGGAGCCTCTCCCTCTTCTGAGTTCTCAGCTTTCTGTATTCCTCTTACACGCTAACCATAATCAATTTTTTAAAAAGTTTCACGTGAAAGAGTGCTGGCCTTGAATCAAAGGACCTGGTTTGTAATCTTAGTCACTTACCCTCTCTGGCCTCTGTAAAATAAGAGAGTAAGAAGGCTAGATGGCCTCGAAAGTCTCTTCTACTTTTAAAACTATGATCCCACGACTCCTAAAATTATATTTCTTCTAAAGAAAAATAGTATCTACCTACATAAAGATGTGTATTCCTACACATACACTGAAAGATAATTATTGCTCACCACTATTCTGTTTTACAAACAGAGAGTACCTGAGCCTCAGAATTTCAAAAGGTTTCTCAGGTCTTAGAATAGGATTAATGAGCCATCACATCCTGTCTCATCATTCACACACTCCCCCTTATGCAAATTACTCTATGGGTAGCACTGAGTTCAGCTACAAGGCTAAGAAACCCCACTAATCCATAGAATCCACCACCTCTGACTCTCTGTTTATTCTGCACCACCCAGCTCTCCCCAGTCTATTTTTCTGTTCAGTGACATAAGGCTAACGCAAGATGGAGCACAAACTCTTTACGGCAGGGGACCTCTAGTGGCCCTCTCTAGGATATAGGAAAGGGAAGGAGAAGAATCACAGAATTTGAAAGTTGGAAGGACCCTTTACACTAGCCAGTAAGTAGCATGACCAAGATTTGAACCTGATCATATAACTTCCAAATCCAGAAGGAGAGCCAAGACACAAAACGTGCCAAGTAGGTTGACCCTACCAGCTCTCCACTGATCCCGGTAGAGGCAGCTCAGGACCCTGTGCCTGGAAGCCTCTGGAATAGCTGTCCCCTTCCACCTTCAAGCCACTAATTCTGCTTTCAGCCAGGTCTACTATTACCTAGGGGAATAACCCTTGTGGAGATCTGCCTCTGTAGATGCTGCTATCCTGCCTCTTTAGCAGTCACAGCTACTGAAGTCCCAGAAAAGAAAGTGCATGCCACCCAAAGTCCTCGGCACTGTCAAATGGTTGAACATCAGAAATATATGATTGTGTCAGTGAAAATAACTCTAAAAAAGAAGCATCACTATTGCTTTTGCCACTGCACACTAACAACCACAGAGCCTTGCCATCTGTCCTGAAGTTGTATTTCCTATGAGATGCTTCTACCTACTAAAATGTGAACTCTTTGAGAACAGAGACTATCTCACTTTTCTATTTCTATTACCAGAGCTTAGCATATGGTAAGCACTTAAGACATGGTCTCCTTCCTTCCTTCTCTTTCCCTTTCACCTTTACTGCCCTTCTGGGCTTTGCTATAACATTTCTATCTCTAAGAGAACAGGGGAAAGGATATTAACAATTATTTGGAGACTGCAAGTGACAGTAATCTGCCTCCCTTACCTTGCTCTAAGGACTTAGGGCACAGACTCCTTCAGCATATACTGCAGCCAGTAGTCAAGCTGCTGTTTTTGCTTCTGCTGGAGAGGACAATGAAGCTTACAGTGCGCCTAAAATACTGAGTGAGTAAGACTGTATGTGGCACTTAGATTTTATATAGATTAGATTTAGGGAAAAAAATTACATTTACATTCAAATCACCACAGCATTTGTGTATGTACATTTATATTTAAGAGAAGCAATTGGGGACAGCTAGGTGGCACAGCAGATAGAGCACCGGCCCTGAAGTCAGGAGGACCCGAGTTCAAATCTGGCCTCAGACCAAACACTTGACACTTACTAGCTGTGTGACCCTGGGCAAGTCACTTAACCCCAACTGCCTTAAAAAAAAGAGAGAGAGAGAGAGAGAGAAGCAATGTAAGGTAGTACATAAAATGGAGCAGTGGATAAAGTGAGCCTTGGCTTTAGAGATGATTTTTTCTTAAGTGTTGACTTTGACATATACAAGCTGTGGGACCCTAGGCAAGTCACTCAACCTCTCCAGGCTCAGGATGTTTATCCATAAAATAAAAGGACAGGACTGGAATGTCACATCTAAGGTTTATTTCAACCTTAAATCTATTATCTTATTCCCTTAGAACACATGAGGTGCTCAACAAATATTAAAATAATTACTATTAATATGTAATTATTAAAGTAATGCAAGTTTTCTCTAAAAATTAGTTTGAACTGCAGACAGTTCTCTCAGACTGCAAGACATAGAACAGGTCACAATTTGCACTGCTAGAGGGAGTTTCCTCCTCTATAATCCCCTATACCAATGAAATTATAGGTCTGGTTTAAAAAAAAAAGCCCCCAAAATCCAGTAAGATGAAATAAAGTAGTCCTTCACGCCACTTTTTGCATAAAAAAAAAAAGAGCAACAATTTGTTGGTGATGATGACTAAAGAGAGCTAAAACAGCATTTTCACTTCAAAACAGGAGTTTAGTAAAAAGCCTGTAATGGAAGTTTTACCTGAGAGAAAACAGGCCTGGTTGCTTAGAGCAAACCTGACTGGAGGAAGGGGAAGATAGACTGCTAGGAAGATGGGTCTGGGATCCACCTCGCTGGGAATCTTGGTCAAACTGAAGGTCAAACTGAAGGGAGGTGGAAAAAAAAAACAAGAGAGCTGGACACTAACTGGCAAGGAACCAAAAGAGATTTTTTTTTTATATGTCTTACAAACGGGCCTGAAGGGGGAAGAACCTGGTGAAAAAGAGGGAGAGAGAAGCCTGCTTACTAGCCCTTAAAGATATGCACGAGGCCAACCAGTCAGGGCTTCTCTACAAATGAAGCTAATGCGGGGTCTAGTCTCAAGATTCAGGGACTGGTAGATCCCTGGCCAGGACTGTAGAATTTTATTTAACAAGTCTTGTCCCAGGTAATTTCTTTACCAAAGACAAGAGAGGCAGCATCAAGACCCAGCCACATCATCCAGAGCAAGGACAGGACAGCACTATCTGGACTACAACAGGTACAGCACTTAATTTTGATGTGATATCAAGGGATTTTTAAGACTGTCTATGCAGTGTGGTACAATAGAAAAAACACTTTGGAGTCAGTGGACCTGGATCCAAATCCAGCCTCTGCCACTTACTACTGGGCCCCAGGTCTATTTTCTCATCTGTAAAATGGGGGGGGCTGGACAAAAGGATATTTGTGGTACTTTACAGCTCTAAGTCTGTGATCCCACCCTACTCAAAATACTAAAATGGATCTGTGATTTCATCATTTTGGATGTTTTCTCCAAGAATAAGGAACACAATTCATCCATGCCTACCCCAAGATATATGACTGTTGTTCATGTTGTTAATCATTCAGTTGTGCCCTACTCCTGCTAACCCCATGGACTATACTGTCAATGGGGATTTCCTGGTAAAGATACTTGAGTGGTTTGCCATATCTTTCTCCAGTGGATTAAGGCAAACAAGTTAAGTGACTTGCCCAGGGTCATGTGTCTAATAAGTGTCTGAGGCCACATTTGAACTCAGGTCTTTCTGACTTCAGGCTCAGTGCTCTTATCCACTGAGCCATCTAGCTGCCAGTTTTCACCCAACATATGAATATTCTTCTTCTCTAGAATGCCAAAGAATACCAAAAGAGGGTCTCAGGCTATCCACCATTTGAGTAGCTTTTTTTTTCTCTTGATGACATTCTTTACTCCAGTGTTTTGAAGTTTGTTATAAGCTGCTGCTGACTCACACATATGCTGTGACTTTCCATTACCTTTTTGTTCATAGTCATTTTAAATTCTTCAAAACTGCGCACCAAGTATCCCAGCCATATCACTATACCAGTTAAAATGATATTTAAAAAGATGGGGACTTTGTTTAGGTTCATTAAAGGGGCTTTGCAAAGCCCTGAAGGCTCTCCTGTTTAATTCTGGGCCCAGCTCATCGTCCATTTAGACTCTGTCCAGAGGACAAATGCTGTTGGGTGAATTCTCTATCCAACTGCACATCGCGCTTACTTCATTTTTCTTAGCCAGGCTAAATGTCTTTAAAGTGGTCAAGTCCGCCTTCCAGTAGACTCTTCGTGGGTTTGGCCAAAAAACAAGAGCTCCCGGAGATCTCATCATCTATAGGGTCTCTGTGCTGGAGAAATCTCACCTTACTCTGCTTAAAATTATCCTGCCTAAGTGCATTTGCTTTCCCCCAAACCACCTGCCTATTCCGATGGGAATGTAAAGAGGTGGACGGGAGGGAAGCACTGGGTTCAAACTCGTTTTGTTCCAAGACTTTTGGAAAAAATCAACAACCGCCCTCGGAGCCTCAGTTTGCTCCTCTGTAAAACAGGATTTAATAATCCCCAACCTTGCAATGAGTGGAAGGAGCAGATGGCCTTAAAGCAGTTTGCAAATCTCCAGGCGGGATATCGATGTCAGGTATTGTTATCAGGGGTAGGATTCCCGGCCCACGTGGGGTCGGGGGCCGGGGTGGGTCAAGCGAGCACCTGGTCCTCGTGGCCCCGGGGTCCAGCATGGGCCGCGCGCACAGACCCCAGGGGGCGGGGTGTCCAGAGGCCGTCAATGGGACACCCGGGAGGTCGATAGCAAGAGGAAGGGCTGAAGGAAGTACATACCTGCACTACTCCAATCCTCTGCAGGAGCTTCCACTCGCGGACCTTCTATCCTAGCAACCACCGCAACACACAGTCCCCCGGAGCCCCCTGGGAGGTCTCGTTTCTTCCCCCGATCAGTACTTTAGAGACGGCCCCTCACTCCAGAAATCGTCTACGTCCGGTAGGCACAAGGGCAGTCGGGAGAACCATCGAGTTGCACAAGAGTAGCGACGCGAGGCCTAGAGCGTCAACGCCTCAGCTCGGGGAGGGTTAGGATCTGGGCACTCCTTCCTACTCGACTCCCTCCCCTCCCCATTCCCCCGCCTTTTCCTTAAGACGCCCGCCAGCCCTGCCCGACCGAGGCTTTAGGAATTGGCTCTCTCCGCTTACTTTTCTCCCGGAAGAAGATTAAGCGCGAGGAGCGGGAGGGAGGAAGGGGAGGGAGAGGGCAGCGGAAGCTCGCTCCGCGGCCTTGTTGGGTTGCTCCCTGGGCTTATCCGCTTCAGGCTCCCCCAACCTCGTCCGGCGTCCTCACACATAACGCCTCCCGCCCCTCCTCCCGAGACCCTTACGGGACGTCCCAGTGACGGTGGAAACGGGAAGTTCCCCTCCGCCCCCTCCTCCGCGCCCACCTCGCTCGCGCGAGATCCTGCGTGCTTGTGCGTCTGCGCTCCCGGCCGGCCGCCGCTCCCCGCGCCGCGCCGAGCCGAGCCCTCCATCGCCGCTTCCGCCTATCCCCGGCGCGGTGAAGGGGACGGCGCGGAATTCCCGCGATCGCCGGCGGCCGCGGAGGCGGGAGCAGCAACGCGGAGGCGGAGGGCGCGCAGGCAGCCGGCAGCATGTCGCGGCGGCGGCACAGCGACGAGAATGATGGTGAGTGAGCGGGCGAAGGCGGACCCGAGGCCGGGGCGGGCGGCTTGGAGCGCCGTGCCCGGGGCTAGGGAGGGACGCTTGGACCGAGCTGGCCCGCTCCGGGGACCCCGGCTCCGTGCCCGGGCAGCGGGTGGCCGAGTGGCTAGCGCTCCAGGCTTCGAGTCCGGGACCCCTGAGTTCCAGCGGGCCTCAGACACTTCCTGGCTGTGACGTAGGGCAAGTCAGTCACTGAACCCGCGTCTGCCTCAGTTTCCCCATCTGAAAACGGGGGTTATAATAGCATGTATCTTTCAGCATTATTGTGAAGATCAAATGCGAATGTATGTAAAGCACTTTGCAAATCTTAAAGTGTTATGTTAATGTTAGCTATTATTAATACGTGCAAATTGATTAGAGAACCCACTGGGTATCACTCTCTATCACCTCCCAGCACAGGTTACTGAAGCCAGGACCTTTGTCTGCATCAGGTGATGTAGCAGTAGGGGTTTGTTTGATTTTTAAGTTGTATTTCATCTATGTCTTGTTCTTCTAAGTGGTCCTATTGTCACGAATATTCTCTCAGAAACTTGGACAATTCTTTTTCGTAAGCATTAGCCAAAGAAGTGTGAAACTGGCTTTCCTCGGGTAGCATCGTTAATTTAGGTCCTTTCTATTAGATCAGAGTTTCTTAACCCTTTTGGGTGTGTGTCATGGACTCCTTTTCAGATAAAGTCTTTAAAATGTATGAAGTAGGATTTCCAAAAAAGCCAAGTTATCAAAATATTTTTTAAAAAACAAGATCACTGACTAGCTTTAAGAGACCCTGCTATAGATAGAGCTGTCTTTCTTCAGGGATATTCTCTTGTGGCTACTTAGAAGTGATGGGCACAGGTTCACTGTGTGATAGTTATCTTAGCCACACTCTTTAAACATAAATCTGTAATCTCACTGATAGTCTCTGGAGGGAAAGCTGAGTAGGCCCAAAGGACAAGATACTGAGTGATTCTTCAAGGTAGAATTCCAAATTCATGTTCAGAGAAGTACTTGTTTACGATATTATGGGGACTTGTTGAAGCTTCAGTGACAGAACTAGTCAGGTATCAGAAGTTTCTCATAAAAATATAGAAATCTCAGAAAATATTTTATATAATTATAACAATAATAATAGTGTTAATAAATTAACAACATGTTAATAATCCAACAACTAAGGTTTATTTTAAAATATGCATTTTGAAGTGCAGTACTATTCTAGAAGAGACTAGTGTTTTACATTTCATTTAGCTTGGTTCAGTTGAAAGAGCTTTGGAATCAGAGGACCTGGGTTAAAATCCTCCTGCTGTTTAGTACCTCTGTCACCTTTGGCAATTCACAACCTCCCTGGGCATGTTTTTCTTACTATGTAAAGTTAGGTGATTTTACTGAGGCCCCTACCAACTCTTTCTCTGGGAATCTTTGAATATTTATTAAGGCTTGTTTTGTACCAGAGAGGTAGGATAAAGAACTGGCCGCACAATTTGGAAAGACCTGAGTTCAAGTCCTGTATCTGACTGGTATTGGTTGTGTGATTCTGTCTTATTGCCTCAGGCAACCTTCTAAGACTTAAGTAGCTGAAATAATTACTTATCAGTTTTGGTTGAAGGAAAGAATTTTCCTTTTTGGAACCTCCCTGCGTTGATGAAATTTTAGGTCTGGATAGGTGCTAGTTGTTGTGCTAGGTGCCTAGAAATAGAAAGATGAAGTATGATAACCTGACCTTCAGGAGTTTACAGTCTTTGTTGCCATACCTTTCCTCTGTAGTGCTCTGAAATAAACATTTTATTATTCTCTTTATCTAAGATGTTGACAGTGAACTTATGTAACATTTTTTATTCATTTGAGCTAGAGATTTTGTCAGAATAAGCAAACTTAGAGATGTTCTGCAAACTATTCCATGTGTTTTTTACTAAAATCCAGTGCCTTGGGTTTTCAAAGGTTGTATCAGTGGAGGCCAACTGGAAACATTTTGAATATAGTCACAGAGATGATAACAAGCGTAGGTAAAAGGGAAGTCACTCAGGTTGAGCACTCCAAGGATTTTTCTGGCTACTACAACTGTTCGAAACTGCTAAAGTTTGGAAAGGGTTTAATCTATATTAGTGGAGAGGGGGCCGTTATCACTAAAATCATGGATCTACTGAAATATATTTCACATCTTCTACAAGTAACTAAGTACACTAAATGTGTTTTTTTAAATATGTAACATGCACAGTAATTAAATTACATTGATGTAAGAGTAATCATTATTTTTGTCTCTAGAGGGAACTTTAGTTTTTTACCCCTTTTTCAAGTTACTTTTCACTACCTTATTTTAAAAAAGATTTCCACAGAGATTTGAACATGAACAAAAATGTCATAAATGTAAATATACAACTATAAACCTGTTATCACTTAACACAGCAAATACATGTTGTAAATCATTCTCATTTAGATTTAATAAAAAAAACAACCATTTTAAGCACCTACTTAGTGCAGGAAACTGCTCTTAGTTGGAAATACAGGGTTGAAAAATTACATAGCCCCTGTCCTCAATTAACTTTTTCTGCTTAGGGAAAAGATATTGTTTACATAGATACAGTTAATAAAAGGTAGAGCATAATAGGAACAAAGGAAAGATTAATACAAAATACTCTAAGAAAAATTGAGGAGAAACAGAACACTTTCATCTAGGGAGCATCAGGGAAGTCTTAATGAAGGGAATGATATCTCACTTGATCCTCGAAGGTAGAGATCGTCCCACTTTTGCCTTTGCATGCCCTGAACCTCAGATATAGGTGGGATTAAGGGACAGGCTGGCATAAGCAGAATGAAAAAAGTTCAGGAGTGGAAATGTGAAGAGAGATGAAAGGACTGAAGTTCATGGTCAGAAGGACAGGAACATATGGTTTTTTTTGCATGATACTGGATCCTACTCCTAATTTCTGCCTAATCAATACTAAATAGATTTCATCCACCTTGAGTTAAATGCTTTTTGAGTTTATAGCTTGACTGTATACGCCTTAGGAAAAATAGAGACTAGAGTCCTTTCAGTTAGTGTGAGGGAGAGCATAATTTGTTTGAAAAAGATAATGATTAGTTTTGTTAAAGCTATACACAGTAAAAGGCACTTTAAATTAACCTTTCCCTTCTCTTGAAACTCTTTTGTTTTCCAATTTTGTCTTAAATTTTCATTTGTATCCTAGTAAATCTGACTTGTGATAAAGTTTGTTAAGAATTGTTACTAGATGTAGTTAGTAGGATTTTTCTGTAGAGAACCTTTACATTGTAATACTTTTTATTATATAAGTTACTGCCTTAGTGTTTTTAAAATGTAGCATCTCTAATATTGCCATTGTTCTTAAGATATTTTATTGATACCTCCTTCTGCCTCAACTTGCAAGCCCAAGGTATTATTTGCTTCCTTTACCCCACCAGTTTTTCATTTCACTCAGAGTTCCCTAGAATCTATAGCTAAAGATGCCATTACCTCTCAGCTCTGCTTTACCTACAGTTTAGCTGGAGGAAATGAGAAGTACGTTTCACGGAGTGGTCCCAATCTACCTTTCCAGCCTTATGACAACATTACTCCTTTCCATAAACCCTGCAATCGAAATATTGGCCTGCTTGTTGTTCTACACACATGACACTCCAGCTCCTCCCATTATACTAGTGCTTTATTTTTAGAATTGAAACAAAATGAGACACTTGTATAACATGTAGCAATTAACAAAAGGAGTTTTACCCAACCATACCAGAGAAAGGATATCCAGCAAGGAGACAGGATTTATTCACTTGGGTGCAGTTTCCTGGCCTCTATTCCAACCATGTTGTTTTGTTGATTCAGAGCACGAGTGAGGAGGTGCTGACCCCTTGGATTTTGGCGTATTGTATTTAGGCCACCTAGAAACTATAGAAATACCCTTAGTCTTGAAGATGGTCTCGAAACCTTTTAAAGAAAACTAGTTTCTATGGCAGATACTGCTCCTAGCATACTCCTATAGTATACATGTACTCCCTGAGGGCAGAGATTATTTCATGTCTTTGTATCTCTAATTCTAGCAGACTACTGGGTACATAGATGTCTCATAAATGTTGATTGATTGAACATGAGTATGAGGTGTCATATCACATTATTGATATGATCCTTTGTGTTTGTAACTTATGTGTACATGTGATGATTGTGAGCCTTTTCATGAGTGTATCTGATCCTGTAAGTTTATTTGAAGAAAAACTACCTTGTAGCATACAGCTTCCTTTTCCTGTAGGGTCTCAAGAAGGTTACTTTATGCTCTATCACTCAGCAAAGCATTTCTTTTGGGCACCAAATCAGTGGGATGCACTACTCTTCTTCATGAATTAGCAAGCTGGGCAGTGGCTTAGGGAAGCAACCAGTAGAAGAGAATGCCTAGGCAGGTAAGAGGGGGGTGGAATGCATGATATGATTTGCTCAACATTATAGCATTTTATTTTATTTTTTAAATTTTTTTTTTTAGGCAGTTGGGGTTAAGTGACTTTCCCAAGGCCACACAGCTAGTAAGTGTCAAGTGTTTGGTCTGAGGCCAGCTTTGAACTCAGGTCCTCCTGACTAGCTGCCCCAACATTATAGTGTTTTAGAGATGGCCATGGTTAGACCTAGAATTGATTAGCATATTTCCTTAAAGTTTACTAAGTGCTTTACATGTATAATTTTATTTGCTCCTCATAACAACCCTGGGAAGAAAGTACTATTATTATCCTCATTTACAGGTGAGGAAATGAGCACAGAATTTAAGTGACATTCCCTGGGTCACACTGCTAGTAAATGTCTGAGGCAAAATTTCAACTCAGGTCTTAATGACTCTAAGTAAAGTACTCTTTATCTACTATACCACCTAGAAATAGATACAGTTTAATTTCATCCTTATAAATTATCTGCCTAAAAGTTGACATTAGATTATAAATCATTAGGAAAAATTCTTTAAACTAATTTGGCTAATACTGTGCATGTACTACTGTAGTTGGAGAAC